TATAGAATAATATATTATCGAGCGCTTAGATTTTTTTCTATCTTAGAATTAGACCGTGATCGAACTGTATTTTTGGAGTTAACAATCGTGGGAATGGAAATATTATTTTCCAAGTTTTCGAGTTAAGCGTGGTAAAATGAAATTAGTTCGAGCGAGGATGAGTTTGATTTTTCGTTATTGAATTCTATTCGTTAAGGAATTGACGAAAGAGAGAAGGAAAATAGAGGTGAAAATAGAGACGTGAGTAAATAAGAGAAGGTGAAAAATAAGAATAATAGACGGTGAATTCATTAAGAAATTGACGAAAGAGAGAAGGAAAATAGAGACGATGAAAATAGAGACTTGATATAAGAAGATGAAAAATAAGAATAATAGACAGTGAATGTGAGAACACGTTATTGGAATATTAGTTCAAGACGAGTTTTTCCTTATTAAATAACGAAATTGTTCTCATTAAGAAATTGACGAAAGAGAGAGAAAAAAAAAGAAACGTGAATAAATAGAGAAGGTGAAAAATAAGAATAATAGAAGAATATAGAAGATACATTATTGGAATATTAGTTCAAAACGAGTTTTTCGTTATTAAATAACGAAATTGTTCCCATTAAGAAATTGACAAAAGAAAGGAGGAAAATAGAGAAGTAAGTAAATAAGAGAAGATGAAAAATAAGAATAATAGATGGTGAATTTATTAAGAAATTGACAAAAGAGAGAAGGAAAATAGAGACGTGAGTAAATAGAGAAGGTGAAAAATAAGAATAATAAAATGTGAGGACACGTTATTGGAATATTAGTTCAAGACGAGTTTTTCCTTATTAAATAACGAAATTATTTCCATTCGTTAAGAGACGATAAAGAGAAATAAAATAGAATTATTGGGATTGTAAGGTTTGCGATGCATCTTGGTAATTAAAATTTATTAAAATTTATTAAAATATCACGCAAAACGACAATCTAAAGTTTAATACTCGACAAATCTTTCATTATAAGATACTTTCATTATAAAATATTAAAATACAAAAGTACATCAATTCGTACGTGAAATCGTTTTAAATTAACTCGTTTTAAGAAATTCATTGAGCGAGAAATCGAGAATTGTTGGTTAGAAAAAGGAGCGCGAAGGATTAAGTTTTTAAGATCGATCGAAAAAAAACCTGTCACGATGATCAACATCTTTAGAATCTTTATCTTTCCTCCAAATACATTGCCACTTTTTGATTCAACTCCTGTTCAAACTCGATCCTGTTTCAAAAAGGCCGTCGGTCCCGTCTTCGCTCGTAATAATTACAAGTTGGCCAAGCCTGGTTGAAATAGCCAAAGGCTTTGCGGCAAGGAAAACGGTTTCGAATATTAATTAACGTCCGAGCTCTCTTTTTCTTCAAAGACCAACATCCCTCAAGATATTTCCCTCCTCAGAGAGTTAGACAACTTGGGAAAACTAACTTCTATCGCCAATATTTGCGAAAACAGGCAAAGTTTTCGTTATCCACTTTTTCTCGCTTCTTTATCCTTCGTACAAACATATATCAAAAAGAGAGAGAGAGAGAGAGAGAGAGAGAGAGAAAAAGACGACTTTGACTTCGGCAAAAGTTGATTAAAACCGTTTTTAAAAATTCTCTTGCCAGATATTCAAGTCGAGAAAAAAGAAAAAGGGAGACGGTGAGAAGGGAAGACGAAGAGAGAGAGAGAGAGAGAGAGAGAGAGAGAGAGAGAGAGAGAGAGAGAGAGAGAGAGAGATAAAGATAAACAATGCCGCGGGATTAAGGGATGAAGCGGAGAGATGAAACGGGGGAAAATGAAAAAGAAGGAACAACAATACGGTTGTGGCGTATCCAGTGATTTATTCCGGCTTTCAACGGCACGTCACCCACTCAACCTACCCACCGCACACCACACTCTTCCCTGCCTCCTTTAATTTTAGAGATCTCTAATTCGAGCACGGTTCCAAGTAAATTTAAACCATGGTTAGTAATTTTTTTTCCCCCTCCACATTCCTTCGATGATCGGGTCTCGAATCGGTCGCTTTTTCTTTTTCTTTTTTCTTTTTTCTTTTGTTTATTCAGTTTCGATAAGTTTTGGTAAGCTTTTTTTTCCTTTTTCCTTTTCCCCTCGCGAATAATAAATAATACTCGAACTACGTTAACACATGCTTCTGATTCGAATGATGAACGTCGATTTGAAATTGATTTTATTTATGGAGAGAGAAGAAACGTAGAAATTCTTGATAATGAATACGTTGTTACGAATTGTTACGGATATAGTTTAGATATTTTTAAATTCAAATTGTTTATAATATTCGAAAGATGAATCTAGTTTATTGTAAAAATTTTTATTTTCTTCTTTTATTAATTTTAAATATTTTATTACCTGTGAATTTAAAAAAATCTAGATAGATTTTTAGGGATCTTAAGAATTAATATATCCATAGAATATTTATTAAATTATCTAATTTAATTTGAGTATATCTAAAATCTTAAAGATCCTTTTTTAGAAAGATCCATAAGATCCTGAAAATCGATAATTCATATCTATTAACTATCAAGATTTTTTTAAAAATTTAAGGATATTCAAATCTAGTATAAAAATTGCAATAAAAATTAGTATAGAATATATGTAAGATACATATTTGTTGTATGACAACATATTAAAAAGAAACTCAATTTGAATATATTTAATATCTTGAATTCTAGAAATATCAATAGGATCAATAGTAACTTTATTTGTATTTCTATTTATCCTAGGGACTCTAAGAATAAATGATCCATCTCTGCATTATTCATGATATTCTTTTAAATAACATTTTTTTAATATTCTTTTAATAACATTCAAACCTAATACAGAAATTGCAATAAAAATTAATATAGAATATATGTAAGATACATATTTGTTGTATGACAACATATTAAAAAGAAACTCAATTTGAATATATCTAATATCTTGAATTTTAGAAATATCAATAGGACCCTAGTAACTTTATTTCTATTTTTATTTATCCTAGGGACTCTAAGAATAAATGATCCATCTCTGCGTTAATTATTCACGATATTCTTTTAAATATTTAATAACATTCAAACCTAATTACAAAAAAAAAAAATTACAATAAAAATTAGAATATAATATATAAGGAAATACACAAAACATATACATACATATATATATAACGTTTCAAAAGAAATTTAAATGACGCTATATGCATTTTGATTGCATCCATATTCTTTGCACGCTCAACAGGGCGCGTATAAATCTCTAAATAAAACAACGTCTCCAATATTTTCTTTTTCACGCGGCGTTTGTTATTCCAGCCCGACCTTGCTTTGTGCGCGATTTGTCTGTCAGCGTAAGGCGACCCAATATCGCGAGGCGTCTCGAAGGGGTTGAACCGAGACATTGCCGTCACTGAATTACTCTCAACGAAACGAGCGCGCCATTTTCACTCTGGTGAACACGGTTACCCTTTAGTTCAGAGAAACGAGTTCATACCACCATTTCTCCTCGTCTTTTCGCTTCCTTCGTTTCTCCGGTGAATTGTTTGTTCAAGCGTTGGTACCGCCGTCTAGCGACAATAATTGGAACTATGATGCTTTCGAAATAACAAGATTCGTAACACGTTCTTCGATATCTAGATTTTTATTGAATTTATATACTCGCATAAATATATCGTTACGTTATTTTATTTTATTTTAAATTTCGAATTCGAAATAATAATTTTGCAAACTATTTGGAACTGGATCTTTATAACAATTTATAACAAGAATATAGAATATTGTATGTATTTTAATTCTTCGATTTTTTTGTTTTGAATCGATTGAATTGAATCAAATCACGCTGGTTCGTTACATATTCTAGGGAATCAGTAATATTTATAATTTTAAATATATACGTATATATCACTCAAGATGCAATAAAATAAAATAAAAATATATTTAGGCCAAATAATGATTTGTGATAATCGACAAAGTTCTTGCATGTCAATTCGAAGATTGCCCTCAAAAACTTGGAAAGTTTCCTAATTTCCTAGACCAGCAATGCATCCATTGCCGGATCGTCGATCCTAGTAATTATTCTCCTAGTAATTTTACGCAATCGTTCACCATAGACGGACGAAATTTAACGGTTCAAGTTAAGAATAAAGTCACTTCGACAATTCAATGTTCAAAACAATCGTAGCACCAACTATAACATATACGAACAAATGTTATTTTACTTTTTCAACTTTTTTTTTTTTTAATATCCAACTCTGCCTCCAATGGCAAAAATACACGAAGTTTACCATCGATAAAAATGCTGGAATAATATTCCTATCGTAGCTAGTCACTAGTTGATCCACTCTTCGTACAATCTCAACACGATAAATTATCGAAGCAATTTTATTCTTTAACGATTATTAAATTCTCCCCAAATCTCTACGATTCTGGAGGGAATCGATTATCTCTAATAAGAAACTTCATCCTGCTCTTAACCCCTTGCAGGTTCGAAAAGGAGGAAAAAGGTGTACGAGTATTCGCGATAATTTTGCCAGTTTTCCACCAATTAAAATCAGCAGATTCTCGTGAAATCATCTTAAAAACACACCTTAGAAACAGTAATGGGCAAAATTTGAATAAACTATATAATTTTAATATACTATACAATTTTAAATTTAATAAACTATATAATAATAATACAATTATACATATAATACGAGATTGTAACACGTAATATACGCTACGAATAAATGTTATTCCAGCATTTTAGTAATTTTTAATTACTCTTTCAACAAATTAACCGCCCGGTTAGAAACATCCAGGAGTACAGAGAGATATCCGCACGATTAAACCGAATTAGAATCACGCCAATTATGTGTAAAAAAATCGAACCGGTTAATTAATTAAATTCAGTGGATTTTCATTGGAATAAAAAAAATTTTTTTAATCTAAATGCTAATTCAACGATCCGATTCTTAACCATATAGAGATGGATTTGAGAAAAATTCTGTTCGTTTCTTTTAAATATTTTCTTAGGTGGAGATGCTTTACCAACGATACTTCCTACGAATGAACCAAAGCAACATGACGCACGTTCTTGGCCTATTGGCGGGACTGGCTCTCGCTCTAGGCGTGCTGCTGCTCCTCAAACTGTTTCTGGACGGCAATCAACAATTCCTCGATACCTTGGAAAGACCGGAGAACTTATTTCTAGCGATAACGTTGGTCACCTGTGTCGCGATCTATGCCGGTAAGTATATATAATCCTAGGACAAGATCTTACGAGATAAAAGCCTGTATCAGTGTAGGGATAGGCAGAGCAAAGGGGTTCAACGAAAGCTGGAAAGAAGTCTCGCTGATTTGATATTTAATCTTTTGCACTCGTATTTAAGAAGAATCCAATCAACTAGGAATTATTTTTCATATTCAAAATGAAAATATTTTTTATTTGGATATGTATTACAAATTAACTTGTTGTTTTAGTAGAAAATATTTGAAAAATACATAAATTTTATATTATTATATTGCAATCAATTGGTTAATGAAAATCTATATAATGTGTGTATATATTTTGATTTTTCGAAATTTTTAAAAGATAAATGAAACTAATTTTCAAATTGGAAGGAACACATAGGAATATCCCTCTCGAAAACACAATCTTGTGTTACAATAATCATAATATATATATATGTATAAAAATAAAGAAAGACAAGCAAGAAAGTGAAAATGATACAAGCAATGTTGAAAAAAATTACATTTTATAATTTCGCATCATACGATATCGTTCAAAACAGTCGTAATCCAGAACAAAAGAGGAAAATTATTTATTATCTTTTATTTATTCATTTTACTTTATATACACACGCATTTAAACAAAAAGTAAAAGAAAACATTGTAACAAGAGTCCCTAGAATGTAATACTAAAATACTAATACTAAAATAATACTAAAATAATAATACTAAAATGTAATACACAATCGCCATCCTTTTATCATTATACACAAGTATATAATGATAAAAGGATGGCGATTATACGACGACATACGAGTGCAAATCGAAGATATATATAACAATAATTAATAATAATTACCTCGATAATTTCAAATCGTTCAAAACACAATAATCGAGATCGTACTATAATAAATACTACGAATAAGTGTTACTCGAGCATTATCGAAATTTTTAATTACTTTTCCAACATTGACAGAGATATAACACTGATCTCGATTCGTCCTTCGAAACTGCATCCTCCAATCCCCTCTTAATTCGCATTTTCATAGAAAACGATTGGATATAATAATTGGAATAATCAAGACCTGCTACACTGGTCAGATTAGTTAGAATAAAATAGAATTCGGATTGGTTAAGACAATAATTAGAATCATTAGAATTTATTCCAAGTTCATAAAACAATTCTACGACGAGTAAGATGTACTTCTTCGAGGAATACTATTAGATCTCACTCCTGTTTTGGGGTTAAAATATTCAAAAGTCACTCAGTTTTCAACCGAAGTGTAGATAACGATGGATAAGAATCGACGAGAAGAGACGAGAAGATTCAATTAATAAGCGATGAGAAATTCAATTTTTTCACTCGAAAAATTCTTCTTCGTTGGATTTCGATGAATCGAAATTTATCGATTATATTTCGCGAATAACCCAACCTAACCTAACGAATAAATATCGAAATATCGAAACTTACAATTCTGAAAATTCTTCGCCCTGTGACATTCGTCGATCGCTCGTTATCCTCCGCTAATTGATATCGCCAAATTTTTCGGATTATTTTTTTTTTTTACACGCGAGACGGAAAGAGATCCGATTTTAATTATCTTAGGGACGAGCGAGAATCGCTTTTTTTTTTTTTTACTTTCGTTTCGGTTTGACCCACTTCCGCCGCGTTAATTAAAATCTCGAATAAAAAAAAAAAATTCTCCTGCGTTCGATACGCGTACGATATCGCGAGAAAGGGGAAGGGAGAGGGGGAAATATCGAAATGCCATCCCCTTATCGATAGTCGAGCCACGGTGATCAAAAGGTGTCGGGTCGACGCCTCGCTTTTTCAAACTGTGCTGATGCTCGACGATAATGTTTTTCTTTTTCCTCCTCTCTCTTTCAATTCAACCTTCCCTTTTGGGGGGAGCGTGTTTCTAACGTGTTTCCACGTGGAAGAACGAATTTCAATGCGAAACGAGCAACGATAATTTCATCATCCCAGTTAAAACTTTTCCAGACCAACTCGAGAGCAATTTTTTTTACAAACGCGTATGCGAGAAAGAGGTTGGTTCGTTCGTCGTAACGTAACATTAGACACGAATAACGATAACGTTTCTAGAAAGGGGTTAAATATTTAAGATTTTTATCAATCATTCTTCTCATCGAGTGATTACTCGTTTATAAGAGCTCAATAATTTTTCTGAATATATATATATTTTCGTTTGAAATATACGTAGTATAAATAAATAACAATGAGAAATTGACGAGGGAATGGAATCCCCAAAATTTTTTCTAATAAACAATAAAAACAAAAATCTTAATTCCTAAGTCAACTAAATCTACCTATCCATCCATTTTTCAATTCAGAAAAACAATAATACAATAAATTACAATAATAAAATAAATTACAAAGTACAAATAAAATACAATAATACGATAAAATATATTTTTTAAATATCTACCAGAGAAACAAGCTAACAACTTTCCTCTCCTGATGGACAAAAATTCCTAGCCCTCCCTTCCTTTCCTCTCATATAAAATCCATACAAAATCTTGGCATCCAACTTCGATCCAAAGCCTTCCACCAAGCTCCTTCATCTTCGTGAAAAAAAAAAAAAAAAAAAAGTCCCAACTTTTCCCCCAGCACTCGGGGGGAAAACGTCTAGTAACTTTTTCGAGCGTCCGGTTTCTCTTCTATTGCAGCACTGGTCGCGGCTATATCCAGGCCGGGGATGAACGAGATCTGGTTAGCGGGAGTGAGCGGGATCGTTCTGGTCACGTTGCTCGCGCTCCAAGTGTCGCTTAACGTGCACCTGGCGCTCGGGTCGAAGGAGCATCGTAGCGGGGGCCCGTTGGCCGCGGCGTGGGCCGTGTGCTTCTTCATTTACATGGCGTACGCCCTGCTCCCTATAAGGCTGCGCCACGCGTGCATCGCCGGCCTAGTTTTCTCCGTGGCGCACCTGATCGGAGCCTTCGTCCTCTACCCTTCGTACTATCCGGCCATGATGGAACACGTGAGTGACCAGATATCTTTGTATCCTCCCGCTCTCGATTAAACAATTAATTAGAATGTGGCGAAAATATTTATTTTGAATTTTTTTTTTCTTTTTTTTTTTTGGAATAGAATAGAATAGAATTCATTCATAGAATAAATTTCTTCTAATAATTCTTTTAATCTATAATGTCTCTAATAATCTGTAATTCTTTTATCTATATATGATTGAGAGTTGGCGTTTTATTTGTAACGGAAAATTCTGTGTGATGACAAAGATGTTAGGTCGAAAGGAGCATTTTCGGTATATTTTGCTTTTTTTTTTTTTTTATTATCGAGAAGGTAAGAATGTTGTTAGGGGAAAAATGCTGATTTTTCGAAATTTGATTTCGATGTTGAAGATGAGCCACGTTTTGGAAGATCGTCGAAGCTGACGAAGATGAAACAAACCGATCGAAGCGAATCGACGAACAACAATTCGAGAAATTGCCACGAGATTGAATTTGTCGAATTCGATTTTTCGTTATCACATTAATGATTTTCATTGTCGTGAAGAAAAAAAAAAAAAGAAAGGAAATTATTTTCCAAACAACTCAATATAGAGTGTAGAATAATATAATTTGAATGGGGAGATTTTTTTTATCTCAAATTAGACTGATTATCTCAAATTGCATCTTAGTTCGAGTTTTATACAGTCGTGAGGCAATAGAAATGTTATTTTCGAAGTTTTTGAGTTTTGTAAGGATGGAATAATGAGATTAGTTCGAGCGAAGATAAGATATTGAATAATAAATTATTGAATAAGGAAATCACTTCTATTCGAACGAAAATAGGGAGAAGGTGAAAAATAAGAACAAGACGGTGAATGTGAGAGCACATTATTGTAAGGCTGCCCTGACGAATTGAGGATGCATCTTGGTAAAATTGCTTTATTATCAAAATATCGCGCAAAACGACAATTTTTTTCTTTTATACGTAAAGATACATGAAATATTAAAATATAAAAATTTTATACGTTATTTCGTGAAATCATTTCAAGTTAGCTGAAGAAGAAATTAAACCATCAAAACCATCGAAACTAGAAACGATATTCTATCTATCTATCTATTGATATGCATATTTATGGAGGGAAAAATTTAGAGTGGATCGAGGTTTTATTGGCTAGGAAAGGGTTGACCAAAGGCTGGGCAAGAATGAATTTCTTAAGATTGTCGAGCTTTTAACGACTTGGAAATTTCGATGCACGCCAACGATAAATTAATCCTTAAGTCTCGAGCAAAGTAATTTTTCGCAGTAATCGCGTCGTCAATAGTTTTTCCGTTTCAACGAAGATCGTTCCACTTTGGGCGGAGTGATTCGTCGAGTGCAATTTCCGTTAAAAATCCCCGCGACCTAGGGAATTTCGATAACCGAACCTGTTCCAGGAAATTCGAACGAGCCGCTAGCCGAGAATATTAACCGAAACCTCGCAACTGTGTCAACAGCTGCTTTGTTCTAATGAAAATCGTTTCGCTTTGAGATTCGTCGAGTGCAATTTCCGTTAAAAATCCCCGTGACCTAGGGAATTTCGATAACCCAACCTGTTTCAGGAACGAATCGCTAGTCGCAAATATTAACCGAAACGCCGCAATCGTGTCAATTGTCAACGAACATCGTTTCGCTTCGAGAGAATCGTCGAGTTTCGTTCGAGATTTCTGCTATAAAATCGCACTTAGAGAATTTCGATAAAGTAACCTGTTCTAGAAAATTCATATGAGCGTTAATCGTCGAAATTTTTGTTTTCAACAAAAATCGTTTCGCTTTGACAATCATCGAGTGCGATTTCCGCTAAAAATCGCGCGATCTAGGGAATTTAGAATCAGCCCAACCTGTTTTAAGTAATTCGAACGAGCGCTAATCGCAATTATTAACCGAAACGACGCAATCGTGTCAATAGTTGATTCCATTTTCGTCGAGTGCGATTTCCGCTAAAAATCGCGCGATCTAGGGAATTTAGAATCAGCCCAACCTGTTTTAAGTAATTCGAACGAGCGCTAATCGCAATTATTAACCGAAACGACGCAATCGTGTCAATAGTTGATTCCATTTTCGTCGAGTGCGATTTCCACTAAAAATCGCGCGATCTAGGGAATTTAGAATCAGCCTAACCTGTTTTAAGTAATTCGAACGAGCGCTAATCGCAATTATTAACCGAAACGACGCAATCGTTTCAATAGTTGATTCCATTTTCGTCGAGTGCAATTTCGACTAAAAATCGCGCGATCTAGGGAATTTAGAATCAGCCCAACCTGTTTTAAGTAATTCGAACGAGCGCTAATCACAATTATTAACCGAAACGACGCAATCGTATCAATAGTTGATTCGTTCCATTTTCGTCGAGTGCAATTTCGACTAAAAATCGAGCGATCTAGGGAATTTAGAATCAGCCCAACCTGTTCTAGGAAATTCGAATAGTGAATATTAACGCCAAAATCATCTCAACAAATGCTTTATTCCAACGAAAATCTATCATTTCATTTTGAGATTCGTCGAGTGGAATTTCTGGTGAAAATTGTGCAACACTAGGAAATCTAGGAAAAAAAAAATTTCGAATCGGGCTAACCTGTTCCAGGAAACTGGAACGAGCCGCTTGTCGCGATTATTAATCGAAACGCTAGAATCGATGCGCGTGAGATCGTGATACGAGCGAGAACACGCGGCCGTATCACGACACACCATGAAGGTCCGGTGTTAATAATAGAGCTTGGTTGAATGGAGCCCGATACTAGGGAATTTCGAGAGTACGTTCACCCTGATCTCTACCTATCCGTCCCCACTGACCTGGAAAAATGATTTATGAAAATAATAAACATCCTGAGGCGTTGGAGGATAAACCACCAGGGGATGAAATTTATTTTTAATCTCGTTCTAATTTTATTTTCAACCAATTTAACTTGACTCTAACTTAATCTGTGTATATCTAATTTGATCCGCTCCGAATTAAATCGACCCGATTTTCTTTTTACTTTTTCCTTTTTTTCCTCACGCGGAGGAAATTTTTATGAAACCTATGGATCCTTATCGATCGAGAGAAAGGATTCTCTTTGCCAACTGCACATATTTGTGTAGAATTTAAACGTACGAAAATTTACAGAGTACACACGGCAATATTGTATTTGAAGAATAAAAAGCGAATCTTTATTTAAATTCCATTGTTAAAAATTATATATATATATTAAAAAAAAAAAATTGTATAAAAATCCACAGTTCAAATATTAATGATTTGACAATTTTTGAATTTTATACAATAGTAATAGAATCTCACTATGATATAATGAATAAAAATTACTCGTACAATACGTTTGATTTTATTACTAGATTTATTGCTGTTGTATCTTCATATAAAATTTATCGAGACTGATAACTGTGGAAATTTATATATTATGTTTTATGAGAAATTTAAATCTATCTCTCGAATACGCTACACGCAAAAAGATAAAAAAAAAACGTTCAAAGCGAAGTATATGATATTTATGATATTTAAATAGTGAAATTGTATCTTTACTTTAGTTTCAATTTCAGTATCTAAAAATCTAAATTTACGATCTATAACGATAATTTATAACTTGAGATTCGTCAATAATATCGATTCAATTATTTAACCTTCATTCATAGTTTCACGAAAACTATCATCCCCCCAATATCTTACATTTAACATATTTCTAATCTATTTAATCGAAACTCAATTCAACCTAAATAAATTACTGAAAGAAACAACCTAACCTAACCTCTTCCAACTCAAACCCCAATTCGCGAATTATAGTAACCGTAATCGAGGTTAGGAACGAGTCGTTAATCGAAATCGAAAAAACATAAATGCACCACCAACAACGTATTAATGTAAATAGAATCCGAGATCGATCAACGTTCAAGAAATCAGAGCGATGGAACGATAGATGCAAAGCCTCTAATTATCGAGAACGCTCCAAGTCGACGGCGATTCTCCATTTTCAATTCACGGGAAAATCCCCTAGACAACAATGCACCGAGGTAACAAGCTACTAAGTTGGCAGCGCGTAACGATCGCGAGAATTATTATCATCGAAATTATAACGATCGATACGCAACGGCCATTCGATGAATATACATATGCGACTTGTGCGTAATTCCGAGTTCAAGTGAATCAGGGATTAATATTCGGACAAACGGGCACATTGTGTCGTTTTGAATGGCTAACGAGATTTCGTCGATGGATTCAGAGTGGATTTGGAAATTTAAGCTTATATCTGATCGAAGAATTAAAGGTTAAAATCGAACGCTAAGACGTGATATAGGGAATTGAATGTTGTGGAGGAAACATTAATCTAGGGATATATAATCTAGTGAAGAAATTAAAGTTCACAAAGGAAAGTCTGATAAAGATTGAGAATTCTTGGTTTCAGCTTCGGATTGAAGATTCTTAGAGAAAATTCTTGCTTTTATTTTTTTAGAAATTGGAATAGATATGGTTGGAACGAATTGAAGCCTCTAAACTGATCTGGATCTGATCCTTGCTTTTAATTTTAAGAAATTAGAACAGAGTATTGGATATTAGAATAGGGAATAGGGAAGAAACTGAACTTTTTAAAAGAAAATCCGGTGTAAGAAATTGAAGTTTACAAAGGAAAGTCTGATAAAGATTGAGAATTCTTGGTTTCAGCTTCGGATTGAAGATTCTTAGAGAAAATTCTTGGACGATTCTTGCTTTTATTTTTTTAGAAATTGGAATAGATATGGTTGGAACGAATTGAGGCCTCTAAACTGATCTGGACTGATCCTTGCTTTTAATTTTAAGAAATTAGGACAGAGTATTAAGTATAGAATAGGGAATAGAAGAAATTGAATTTTTTAAATTGAAAATCCCATTTTTTGTTTTCGATGTTTAAATAGAAATTATAGTGGAACTGTATGAAGCATCGTTACGGTTTCCAAATTAATCGAATGTAAAATTTGACATCCAATTAGCTCTTATATTGTTCTCACAACGTATGCAGATCTCGATTA